GTGTGAGGGATACCTCAAATTTTTCTTTTCTTATTTTGTGTGAAAATCTCTTTTCTACAGATTTTCCAGGGTTTAAGCATTGCTTGCTGTATAAAAAACTTTACTGAATTATATACAGTTTGAATGAAATGTTATTTTAAAAACAAAACAATTGTTAAGTGTTCCATAAAGGTTATGTTGAATTTTGGTCAGATGAATATTTGTAAGTAAAAAATATATGCATTTCTGAACCTCAACTTACATAGATTTTCTTTATAAAAAAAAAAAAAAAAAAAGGTTGGCTGTAGTTGGCCTGGAGTAACAGGCACGATATATGGTGCTGTGCAAAATAGTAAGCTAGCATCTTACTGCCGTCAATATCAGCAGGTACAGAGCCTCTTTTCAGCTTAATTCAATAAGCTCTCAGGCTTCCAAGTCAGATGGACAGGGTGGAGTGGAGTGAGGCAACCAATTCACCATAGGATTTTTGAACCATCAAGGGGAAATATAACTACTGATAGTGAAAGCCCAGCCCTGACTCTGGCAGGCTACACTTTGCAGGAACTGGGCACCAAGAGCCTCCCAACGGCCCTGAATCCTGCCATTGGTGTAGCGATATCCGGCAGGATTTAGAGCCAGTCATGGAACCTTATGCTCAAACTAAAGTAGGTCATCACTTCCTGGAAACAGAGTCCGATCACCTTGTGCTTCCTGAAATAGCATATATCACTGTGAAACTAAAGAATGCTCTACAGATGCCTCTGTAGAAAGAAGCGAAGAACAGGATAGTTTATTCTCTTAGCTATACTCAGCTAAAATTCTACTAGTCACTCAGGACTGCTATTCAGTGTGCTTTTGTAAAATGAGATCAAAATTTGAGTAAGACACGTGGCTAAGATCTTTTCCTGCATGAAGCCCAAAGCACTGAAGTTTGAGCAAGGGAAAGGGACTCTCCCCAGAGGATGGAAGATGGCTTCTTGTACCGCCAGTGCTCCTTCACCCTTCTGCAGCCCTTAGCTTGGCACCTGGCTCCAGCTTCTGGGGCAGCTTCAAGGTGAACTCCACAGAGGTTGCTCTTGACTGTTTGGAGGAACAACCAGCCTGCCTTTCCCTTTGCTAACAGAAGTTCAGAGGCATTGCGGCCCAGAATCGAGGTCTGTGGCGCAGAAGCTTGCCATGAGTGTGTGCCACTGGCAGAGTCCCAAGCCTACCAGCCACTCCTGATGGGGTTGCGCACACCGAGGCCACCCCATCACCAGCCTGCACCTTCCTTGGAGGATTTAAATATGTTTGATTGCAAATGAATGTTTTTAAGTGTATTTAATGCAATTTTTCCTGTTCTCAACATGACCACCCAAGATCCAAACACAGAGATTTCCAAGTTGTTTTTTTTTTTTTTTCCCCAGAACATCACCAATTTAAAAATCTGTCACAACAGGGACTTGGGTTTTGTGCGGCCATCAGAGTGCTAATGTGAGAAGGCCAGTTTAAAAAAAATCGAGTTTATTGGTAATAAAGCCTTATTTAGGCCCACTCATTGACACTTCTAGTACTGAGAAAATATCCTTGGTTGGCATTTGTAACACAAACACAATAGAGTTGGTGTTTAAAAGTACCAGGTAAATATTAAGGAAACCAATAATGAATTGCTGAGACAATCTTGAACCCAGATAGCATTAGAAAGCTGAAAGCCCAATGAAGTAACACTTCCACACTTAAACTCTGTGGATAAATCTTGCCTGTGGCTATAAACAGATGGTCAAAGAAAAAGTGCTTTACTATAATTAACTTTTCTGATTTGAATGAAGGAAAAATGTATTTATTAAAACAAAGCTGTTTGCTGCTTTAGGCAGGTGCAGTGTTCAGTCAGCAAGGAAGTGGGAGGAATGGGGCGTGGTCTGTGTTTCCACCCGAGTCCTTCATTAAGCTTCTCGCTCTCTCTAATACTGCATTCTGTTTCTCCTTTTGTGCCCTGATTGTAACCCAAAATTTATGAACTAGAAAAGAATGTCCAATTTAATAAGTTGCATTTTTTTTTCCTTAAGCACTTTATGCAGAACAATACATGTTCTTCTGGTAGTGTTTGGATAATATGATTTTAACACATGCTAATAAAAGCCAAGAAAAAAATCATGGCAACTTCTAAAAAGGAGTCTGTTTTCCGAATGTCTAGAACATTAGGAAACATTGGAAGATAATGTGTCCCAGCTTTTGGAACTTACGATTCTTGGTGAATAAGAGGCCAGGGAGTGACTTTGCATTTCAGAGTGGGGGCCGGTGCCCTGTGGTAGCCACAGCTATGCTGTGGGGGCCATCTGCAGCAGTCTGGGAACCCCTCTCCTTGGCCTCCTGAAGTCTAGCAGACCTTTTACAGGCGGCCACTCCCAGCCACCAGGACCTCCCCAGTGTTGTGTCCACTGTCTCCACCCTCTCCTCAGCCCCTTACGTACGCCATGCTTCCACTGCCACTACTCCCTGGCCTCAGGCCCAGGATTCGGCAGATGACCAGCGGCCCCATGCACAAGCCACTGCTCCCCTTTGCAAGGATGCCCAGGTGCTCTTCACGGACTGCACGCTCCTTCTCCCATCTCTAAAATGTAGAGAAGCACCTCTTTCCTCTTGGCCTCCCTAGAAACAGAAAGCCAAGGACATCTACCCTGGAGCGTGGGGGTTGGGGAGAGAGCGTGGGGGGTGGTGAGGTGGTTGGCAGGGGAGGGAATTCCCTTGCCACAGGGCAAACATGAAAGTGAGACCTGGGAAATGGGAGACTGACCCCAGATTCTAATGGAGAGCTGACAGGAGGAGGTCCCAACACCTTGCCACCTGGGATAGGGGCTGGTGCTGCCCCAGCCCTGCTCCTTTGCACATTTCTCCTGATTGTTGGGCAGAGAGGCCTGTGTCCATTTCTGGCATGAGGGCAATTTTGGTTTATGCCCTGGCTTCTGGGAAGACTGGGAACCCTTGCCTCAAGGGCCACATCATGGCCTACGTAGTCACCTTTCCTCCCTGTATTTATGCAGCCCCTGACTCCTGGCCTTGGCTCTGCTGGGCAGTTGTTGGCCCTCTCGCTAAGTGGAGAGCCAGAGCCAGTCATTAGAAAGGAACCACCCTCTTTATTTCATGCAGTGGGGCCTGCCTTCCACCCTATCAGGCATTCACACCCAGGAGTTGAGAAGTCTTAATGCCCAAAACAGCACCCATCCTGCGTGCCCTGGTTTGCTTCCATTGTAGGAAGCCAGGCCCAGGGCCTCTGCTAAGGAGTTCATCCTCAGAGTGGGCTGACATTTTAGCCACTCTCACGAGGCTTCTCTCCTCCAACACCCCCCCTCCCCCGCACCCCTATTCTGCTTTGAACCTTCCAGACTCTAAGAAATGCTCTACCAAGTTATAGATGGAAAGTATGTGTCCCCGCTTCTCCCCCTCTAGTGCCCCTCCTGCCTTCCCCTCCTCTCCCAGCTCCACCACTCCCAGCTACTTCCTGGGGAGGCTTAAAGGTCATCACAGCAAAACACATCACCCCTACAGTCCCAGTTCCGCCACCTACTCTTCCTCTCCCCCCACTGATTTCAGAGGCCTTGGGCAAACCATTTCTCATCTCTCCCCTGATGGAAGATCTTTGGCTTCCCAGCTTCTGGGGAGATCAGATAGCAGTCAGCGGGGTGCACCCCCAAATAGCTCATTCAGAGCCACACAACACCTGTGTGTGTAGAAGAGGTGCAGGGTTCTAATGCCCCTGCTCCTCCAAGGCATTGAATCCGCCTCATGAGCCCACTCACAAAGGGAAGAGCACAGCCCCATGGTGGGCTGAGTATCTGGAGGTCTGGAACAGTGGATTCAATTTTCCTGACATCCTGTCAGGGAGGGACCCTCTGAGTACATTGTTTCTCATGGAGGTCAGTACAGATGCTAATGAACACAACGGGCATGCATGTTCGCATTTAAAGGTGACAGTCATGGGGAATGCAGCCACCCACCCAGCTTCACAGGCCTTGCTCCCCACTTCACACAGCCTGACTCATCCTTCCGTCCCCAGTGCCAGCATAGCATTGGCATAAAGAGTAATGCACCCATGAAGAGCAGTCTTCTGGGAGCTAACTGTGCATTTAAAGAACTTCAAGTCGTAGAGCACGGTCTTCTGGAGAAAACCAGCAAATGAAAGGAAATCGCTAACATTTGCCTTGGGGAGTAGAACACGGCCTTTTCCTCAGAGAGGAAAGTGGATGCCTGGGCTTAGTGAATTTTCAAATGGACCAAAGAGCAAACTAGCGGGAGGGAGTGGCTATCCATGTTACTATTCACAGGGGTAATAATAGTTACTTTTTATTGAAAACCGGCTGTGAAATTTTCAACCTCAAGGGCACAGCTATGGAAGAATGGGCTCAACCAGGTGATGTAGCGAAAGCTGGAGGCAACTTGGCTCCACTGGGAGCTATCAGACTTTAAAATTAGGCAGTAGCCAGAATCAGAAACCAAAGAAACGGGGGGCGGGAGCATCAAGAAAATCAGATGAACCCTGGTTCCAAATGTAACTCCCAAGCATTTCTTTATGAACGTGGCCTGATTCATGGAGAACCTCAGGTGGCCAACTGGGCAGTGTTGGAGGACTGTCCCCGTGACTGGGTAGGCAGCAGGAAGATTAAAGCCAATTTCTATATGCCTCCACGTCCATATGCCTGGAAGTGTTATAGCCAATCTTTTTGCACTGTTTTCAAGTTCATAGTTACCAACTTGAACTGTAAACTTGTTTAGTCCACAAAGTAGATTTATTATTGGAGAAACACTGTCCTGTGTAACTCAGTATCCCCTGAGATGTCACCATATCACGCCAGGGTAAAATAATGGATGTCCATTTATTTTATAAAATCCCAGAGGTAGCAAAAAACAAAAGCAAAAAACTATGTATTCTATATACTGTTTAATAAGGCAAGAAAGTATATATACTATTCTTATTGCTCATGAGACATAGCTAAACCAAAAAAGTATTGGTGCTGAAAAGAGTAAGTTCCGATTCTGGAGATTTCCTATGTGTAGCTGATTCGAGTGCCCTGACATTTCATCTCGTGGCCTCGCCCCCGGTCACGTGCTCTGGACGAGCAGCCCAGCCTCTCAGTCCGTGTCCTCAGGGAATCGACGTGCCTCGGTGGGGCCCGCCGCTCCTTCAGCCCCTTGGCCTGGGGGACGACAGACGTTCTGCAGGACTTCCGAAACGTAGCCCTGTGCCTGTCCTCTGTCCCACTCACCATCCACAAAACAGCAGGAAAAGGGGATCTAAGTACATCTCAGACAATGAAGTGAGGGGTCAGGGTGGAAAGGGACAGCAGAGAAAGGTCCTAATACGTGTGTTCTGGACCAGGAATTGAAAACTAGGAGAAGGAGGGGCACCTGGCTGGCTTGGTTGATGGAGCATGAGACTTGATCTTGGGGTTGTGAGTTTGAGCCCCACGTTGGGTGTGGAGATTACTTAAAAATAAAACCTTTAAAAAAAAATCAGGAGAATGAGTAATTTGTTGAGGACTTGATATGCGTCAGGCCCCAGGCTAAGAACTTCAATATCCTTTGTGTCCTTCCATCTTCACAACAGCCCTGTGAGGAAGATCCCTGTTGTGGAGATGTTATTATGGGGCTAATAATGGGTCTGTCATACGGGGCTAATAATGAGTCTGTCAATATCTCCATTTCACAGATGAGGGACCTGGGGCCCAGAAAGGTAACTTTCCCAAGGCTATTCAGCTGACAACTAGCGGAGCCAGGATTCAAACCCAGGATGGTCTTGTCTCCAGTGCCCTTGAGCCCTGACCCTTAGCAGAGACAGTGATGGGTAAGTTGGAAGCACACTGTGCTCCTGACAACTGAGGAGGACTGACACATCAAACAAATGAGCAGCACATCAGCACCCCGACAAGGCTGCTTCAGAATCATGCTCACAGGAGGCTGGGTATTTATCCCTGGGATGTGTCTGGGCTCAGACCCCTGTGGAACTGTCCCCTTCGCTCATTATCACCTGGGGCCCAAACATCAGGCTCGGGATCTCCCAACACTCTCCTCAGCAGCTCTGATGAGTATTCCCCAGCCGGGCCAGTCTCCTCCTTCCCCAGACTTGGCCCTGAGTTATTCTACTTGTCTCCAATCGCCCCCCAAAGGATGAAGATGTGCCATGACCCTGGACACATAAGGAAATGCATCAGGGGAGCTCTGTGAGGGCAGGTCCCTTGAGGAAAGCAGGCCCTGGTCACCAGAGTGAGATTTCCTCCCAGCAGGGGAATGGCTTTGAAGAACCACACACATCACACACTTGCATGTGTCAAACTGGGTCCCTTTGATCCTTACAAAGCCACACTTCCATGCTCTCTCTACTCTACACCCCACCGCCGCACCCAGCTTGCCCCTCAGCTGGCAGCAGGCAGCCACAAGGGTTAAATGAGGGCCGGCTTGGGCCAGCTCCTGTGCCATCTTCCATTGCCCTCAGGCCACCTATTCTTACTCAGCTGGATTCAGATCTTGAGGAGACTGTGAACATAGCAAACATTTAGGTGAATATATTGGTTAAAACCCAAACATTTGTGCACAAGTGTGTTGTTACCATTTCAGATCTACATGCAGCCTTCTCCCAGGAATCCCACCCTCACATCCTTTGCTTTTTCCCAGGATACTCACCCCCTGGCCCCTCCCACCTCACCTCAAGCTCAGACCACGGATACCCAACTCGGCAGCAGGAGCATCATAGGCCAGGCCTAGTTCTACTTGTGGAGTGGGGTAAGTCACATGCACTCTGGACCCCTTGGGTTTCTCACCCAGATTTGGAGGTGGAGATGACCTAGCACGCTTCTCCCAAAATGTGGGGGCTGAGGGATACAAGAGTCACAGCAGGCTCAGGGCCCTTTTGTATAATGCTCCACTGCCCAGCAACCCCACCAAGGGCCTGGCGTGGGGTGTGTGAAGCACAGAGGAAATGAGGAAGTGACCTCTGGCCTCTAAGTGGCTTTGAAGCAGGATTCCAGAAAGCTAGTTACATTTTCCCAGTGGTTTCCACAAGAAAATGCAAAGTAACTTTGCAATGAAAATATGACTCCAAAGTAAGAATGCAGCAAAAAAAAAAAAAAAAGTAATGAAGTATTAAAAAGCAACATCATTACTCTGTGAAAACACAGAACAGATCAGGACTGCTACTAAAGTTATATAATTATAGGCCCCTCTTTTTCAAATAGGACCTTCTTAGATTGAAGACTCAGTTACCACATAGTTATTATCAACCCCCACCAAATACTCACTGCAGATTTAATAAAGAACCAAAACGGCCTTGATGACTTACCCAGAGAGGCTTCTAGAACTTCGTCTGAAAACTTAAAAGTGGGGAAGAGCAATGCCAGTTCCCGGCTGGCGGCATCTCTGTCCTGGCTTCCATGGACCGCGTTAAAGGGCATTTCTGTGCCGAACTGAGCACGGAGACTGCGAACATCGGTAAAATGCACAAGAAACAATCGTTTCATTTGCAAAGAAACGTTTTGCTCTCCGGCAACATGGGCACCAGCAACCAGTTAGCACCCCGTGTTTCTGTGAAATGGCTTTCTCTCCGTTGGAAATGCCAAGAACAACAAGAACAGTAGCTGACATCTATTCCATCATGATGTTGGGTGTTCTGGGCAGGTTGCCAGGTACTTCACATACATGATCCTGTTTCATTTGCGCCACAGCTCTGTGAAGGACACTCTGTCACGATTCTCAGTTCAAATACGCACGAGTCACGGCGCAAGCTCGGGAGCTCCCATTTTGTTGCTATCACTACCAGGGACTAGCACCCTGCCAAGAGCTCGAGGGTGTGCATCGTTAATTCCTCAATATCCCCATAAGATAATACTAATATTGCCAGGGCTTCCTTTGTGTCAAGCACTGTTCCAAGGGTTTCATATGTATATATACATATATACACATATGTAAGTACATACGCTCAATTAATCCTCACATCAATGTTTGAGGCATTGTACTACCCGTTTTTCAGATGAAGACATTGAGGCACAGAGAGATTAATTCATGGCCCTAGGAAGAGCTCTTAACAACACTCAGTGGCATCCCAGGATAGGTGTCATAACCCCATTTTACAGATGAGAGAACTGAGGCTCAGAGAAAGGACTTACCTGAGTATGTGGTTAGCTAGGATCTGAACCCTAGGCTGTCTTACTAGCCCCACGTATGAATGTTCTGGCCCCCTACAACAGCAGGGTACAACTGCAGTTACTTAGTCTCTTGCTCATTTCTTTCCTGGTGGCTGGGGCTCTCTCAGCTTCAAAGGCAAGACACAGTGAATTTGGCATTGGTGACGCCAGGCTAAATACAGGGCCACGGCAGCCTAATGCAGAATGCAGAACCAGGTGCTCAGACTCTAGGGGGCCTGAGAACACCCTGGGTGGGGAGGAGAGTGGAGAGAGTTGAGTCTACAATGCAGATCCCTAGGCCCTGCCCAGAGTCTCTGACTTGGCAGACTTTACCGGGGCCCTGCAATCCTTATTTCCTGGATGAGTGTTGCATGTGTTTTCTGGGACCACACTATGGAACCCTCTTAACTGTAGGACTGGATCAGAGGGTGAAGATAGCGGGGTCTCCTCAAATAGATAACAAAGAGGTCAGAGTCTCTCCAAATATACATAAAAGGGGGTTTGGGGGCTGAATATAGAGCAGGGCTCTTGGCTTCCTAGGTTTTGAGATAAACGAAAAGAACACAGCTGGTGACATCACCTGTCAGGCTGCTCCCTCCTTGCCACATCAGGGTCACAGGGCCCCATGAGCGTTCGCCAGGCAGCAGTCACGTCCTCTGTGCCCTCAGGCCTGGTGAGGATCAGGAGGTGGCTTGGTCCACTGCACATGTGATGTACCAGCTTCTCAAATGCCTCCTAGCACAGTGAGAGGAAATGGTGACCCAGGGCAGGGGTCCTGGGGCCTATAGTGGGTCAGCGGGCCCATCCCACCCTCAGGAAGGGAGGGGCTCAGTGAGCAGCCTTGCCACAGGCCAGCATGCCCATGGAGGGCCCAGGGAGGGGTGGTGGTGATGACCAGCCACACCCAGAGAACCCAGATAAAGGCAAAGGTGGGAAAATGAGACTTTGAGTTGACTTGTTTGGGGTTGAGTGAGAGACTATAACAAGTTAGGTAGGGACATGTGTGGAAACCATGTGGATGCTGGATAACCATTGGGTGCGATGTAGCTAAGACTTATTTTTTGCAATGCCTTGCAACCCTTCCCGCTGCTTCAAGTAGCAGTACTCTGGTTTTCCTTTGGGAAGCAGCCCTTCCCCATTTCACTTGGCCTAGTCTGGCTGACAACCATGACGCCCCCCCACCCCCTCCACCGCCACCAAACACACACACCTCACCTGAGAGGTGGGGCTATGACCAAGCTAGGTCCACTAGGCCTCCGTCCCAAGTAGGGGAGTCAGAAGCAGAAGCACGTGGAAAGTGGTTGAATCTGAGTTGTCCAACAGCAGCACCTAAAGTGACTGTTCATGGGATTCTGCTCCTAAGGTCCCTACGACTGTCTTGGTTCTTTTTCTTTTTTTTTTTTTTTTTTAAGATTTTATTTATTTGACAGAGATAGACACAGTGAGAGAGGGAACACAAGCAGGGGGAGTGGGAGAGGGAGAAGCAGGCTTCCCACAGAGCAGGGAGCCCGATGCGGGGCTCGATCCTAGGACCCTGGGATCATGACCTGAGCTGAAGGCAGATGCTTAACGACTGAGCCACCCAAGCACCCCGACTATTTTGGTTCTTCTCCCTAACACCTCCTTGTTCAACTCCTTCAACTATCTTCTTCAGTTCTGGGAGCTATGGAGTATCCTTCCAATAAATTCTTTATGTCATTACTTAAGTTAGAATCAAAATCTCTTCCTTGCAACCAGAGAACTTTTTACCTGATACAGACTATAATCATTATTCTGAGAGCAAATTCATGGCCTTCTTGCTGTTCATATTCTTGTTCTTCGTAATACTCTATTTTCTCCCAAACTAACATCAATCTATAAACATAATGTTGGAGAAAGAGAAAGAAATGAGAGTGTGTCTGACGTGTGGAAGCAGATGATCTGACCTCCCCAGCTTTGTGTTGATAGAAAAGTTGCATTTCTGCCTCTGTCATGGTTCTCTCTTCATTTGCTAAAATGTCAAAACCGGCTTCGTGGATCTGTAAAATATACATATATTGTGAAAGGGTAAATCAAGCCCAAATTCACATTCAAATCTGCTGAAAAGTACAAGAGAATGGGAAAGATAACATTAAAAGCAGCGAAGACCCTCACCCTCATCGTATCTGTCCCAAACGGATTTAAAATGTTTCGTTGACTTAACTGGAATTTTGGTTGGAGCTCCTCAGAAGCCTCCTTTTACCACTAGCACACTGTTGTTCGATGCCCCTCCCCTGCTTTTCCACCAGAGGAGACCTGAGGGCAGTCTGTCCGGGAAGCATTGTCTCTCTTACCTTCATCATAATCTCATCGGTCTTTCCGTGGACCACTGCGTCTGGCTTAATGATGGCCAAGGTGCAGGTCTTCCCCGATGAAGCTGCGGTAGGGGTGGGGAGGGAGAGCAGGGAGGAGATCAGAGACTACTCAGGAGCAGAGCCCCAGCAACAACTGGAAGAGTCAGCTCGGAGCTGGGGAGAGCTGGAGCAGAGGCAGCACGGGCCTGGCCTCTCTCATGCCTTCCTGTCACCTCCCCTGATTCCGAGCCTCCAGCTGCTGTCTACTGTGTTCTCCCCTTTCTCCACTGGCTCCTTCGCCAGAGCTTCTTTTTAACTTTTCTGGCATATGGGTAGTAATGACTGCCCCAGGCCCTGAGTCTGTATGACTTTTCAGCACCAGCACGTTCTCCTGAGGGAAGATCAGACTGGCCAGTTCGTTATGTGGAGCCAAAGTACCAGTCATAGCTCCCTGAACAGTGTCCTGATGGCTGTCCTTTGGTCAGTGCCCATAGGTCCAATCAGCTGTGGCGTCGCGGGAGGTGGCACGTGATTGTAGTCCCTGCTCAGGCCTGTAGGGGGCCCGGTGTCCAGTCCATAAGCCCAGCCCTACTGTACTCCTGTTTGTATCACCTTGACCTTGGTGAGCTTCCTACACTCCCCACAGACTCTGTACCCCCCATAGCCTATTTTCTGTTCTCAACCTTTATATCAGTTGTGTGGCAGTGAAACGTGACAACATCTGCGTTTGAGGAGAACTTCCTACTCTGAAAATCTCAAAAACTTGTGTACTACAAAAATGTGAATCATTTTAAGCAACAAATCTATCCATTTTTCTTATTTCTAATGTCCCATGAATCCTTAGTGTTTAAGGGACTCTTAAAAGGAAATCCCTTATACGTTGACCCATTAATGAGATCCCCTAGAGGTGCGGGGTGAGAAGAGAAGAGGCCAGATCAGGGCCCAGAGAATTCCAGCTTGAAAGGGGAGCAAATGAGAAAAGGCCAATGAAGGGGAGGCTGTGGAGAGGCCAGAGACATAGAAGGAAAACGAGAAAGGTCATGACATCTCAGAAACCAAAAGAGACCAGGGTTTGGAGAAGGAAGGCACTGTCGACATCATCCAAGTCCTCAGAGAGAGGCTGTAGGATATGACTGGACACTGTGTGTTGAATTTGGCACCAAAAAGGTCGGTGGTGTCCCATGAGCACCAGGGAGCAGGTCAGGCAGGAGCTGAAGGTGAGGGGTGCCCAAGGAGTATGGGAGCTCAGGAAGTTTGGGCATGGAAGGAAGGAAGGCTAAGGGCAAGGGCAGGCTTTTAGGTTATTTTCTAGGTGGAGAGTCTTGATTTGAGAGGAGATAATGACGGAGGGAAGAGGAGATCATCCAAAAAAGGAGGTAACAAATGTTTCCTGCAGAGGCCAGAACACTGATTTTTTCACACTTGAAGTGTTTTTGCTCTCCGAACTGTGCCTCTTTCCTTGTTAGAATCCAACTCAGACAGTCCTCATTATCCCCACATGAATAAACAGCCTCTCGGCTTCACGCAGTAATAAAAATCTTCCTTCTCCTCACAACTCGGTTCCTGAACTTAATGCTGGTTCCCCCTAGCGTCTCAGTTACTGTCACAAGCCACCTTCTGACTTCTGGCTTCCCTGCTGTCAGGTCAAGTTGTTCTTCCCATAGTAAAGGTTCAGGAAGAACTATGACGCCCAGGACTCCTGACTTTTGGACCCTTCAGAAAAAGGTGAAAAAAAGAAATGAGCTCTTTAGCTCAAATGAAGACTAAGGAAACACCAGCATCCTCACTTGAAATTCTACCTTCCTTTTTATTAAAGTGGGGTTTTTCCTGATGCGGGGTAATAGCCCCAAAAGTCATACTTGTGATACTTGAGCATGATCAGAAAGCTGCAAAAAGTACCTACAATGTCAAGAAAGGGCAGAAGGGAGATTGGGCACTGTATGTTTGTAGTCAGGTGACTGGAAACCGAATGTTTCATGGTTAATCTTCCCAGAGTTCAGATTGCCCAAATCACTGGTTACTCATATGCTTTGCCTTTTCATCTTGCTCACTGGTTCTGTACTCACCCATGTCATCATCTTCACCATTGTCCTTGTCATGGGAGAGGCATCCATCTTCATCAGACAGAGCCTCGTCTCTAATCTAGAGCAACACATGGATCATGAACAGAAAGTAGTTAGCTAATTAAAATAACCACAAAGACATCCAGCAACTGACAGAAGCCAAAAAAAAAAAAAAAAGCAAAGGCCCGAAATGCAGAGCCAAGAAAAGGGGGTCAAGAGCATCAGCCTTGGAAACTTTACAAGACCCTTTTTAGTTGCTGGATGACGGTGGAGGTGAGGGTGTTCGAAGACAAGGAAATCCATGCTGACTTTAAGGTACAGATTCGGCCCATTTCCACAAGCATCAAGTAGAAAAGATGAAGTAGGGAGTCGGCCAGAAGACAAAGGAAGAAGTGACATACAAGGAGATACTTATCAACTGGCTCCCCCGGGCAATGTTAGTCGTGAAGACAGACATCATCTCCCCCTGGAGGGGGCACAAGCAGGTGTGATTTTCGGAGAAAAATATGATGGATTCTAAGCCGTTCTATAAAAACGGCTTCGCTATTTGGAAGTGAATATGAAAACTTGAACAATGAATACTGAACAATGTGAGGCTCATTGGACAGAAGCTCAAAGCACGAGGAAATGCCTCTCTCTATCTGAGGTGGTGTCAGTGTTCAATGGCAGCCAAATTTTTGTGAGAAACTTGTAGTCTATGCTGTCATGGAAATAATTTATCAAAATCATAAGCTATGCTGATTCTATTGCTTGTGTGAATGACAGGGCTTAATTTCTAAATTAAAGGATCCCTCGGGGATTACAAGTAAAACTTTCAGGTATGGGAGGCGAGGGCAAGTCACCAGGAGAGAGCTCACGGTGAGGCTGACTTCTACCCACTACTCTACTCCATAACTTTATATTCATTTCTGAATGTATTGTCAGGGTTCCAGAAACCCCTGTTAAGAATTGAAGCAGGGGATGAACGGGAAATGGATAAGAGAAGTTCAAGTGCTCTGGATGAAGGGGGCGACTTCTTAAAAGAAGTTTTTAAAATGCATGTATGGGACACCTGGGTGGCTCAGTCGGTTAAGCATCAGCCTTTGGCTCAGGTCATGATCCCAGGATTCTGGGATCGAGCCTGGGATCAAGCCCCGCATCGGGCTCCCTGCTCAGAGGGAAGCCTGCTTCTCCCTCTCCTACTCCCCCTGCTTGTGTTCCCTCTCTTGCTGTCTCTCTGTCAAATAAATAAATAAAATCCAAAATAAAATAAAATGCATGTATGTCCTCGTGGGCACTGCCTCCCCCTGAGCCCTCGGGTGGGCATTTAACAGCACTTGCCACCGAGCGCTCCAGGAAGATGGGTGGGACCGGGAGACTCCGAGCTCAGCACTGGTGGAAGCACTCCTTACCCCTTTCCGCTCGCGGCCTTCGGCCAGCACCTTCTTCTCAGCCTCCAGCTGCTCTCGGATGGTTTTCTGCAGCAACGGGGCATTGGCTCCTCTCACCACCGCCACCAGTTCTCCCCCCTAGAATACAGAACACACACACTACCCAAACCGCTTGAACTCTTCTTCACAGATCTTCATCTCTTTGAAGGGCCAGCGAGTGTCCAAGAGCTTTGCTTAGGCGTGTGCCCAAGGTCGAGGCTGCCGTCCACTGCTCTGCCTTCTACCCCATGCCTCTCCTTTCAGAGCTGCCTCCAGGGAAACAGGGAGTTAGTTAAGGGAGGAGCGGGGCAACGAGGTCGTGGGTGACTAAGGGTGGCCTAGACGTGGTTCATCCACTTGACAAATACCTATTGAGCACTTACTCTGCCAAGCCCCAAGACAGAGGCAAAGAATATGAACAGTCAGCATGAAAAGCCAGAGTTGCCTGCTTCAGGGAACGGGAGGCCAAGTGGGGAGAGAGGTGGTCATATCAAAGAAACAATTACAATAGAGTAAGATCATTGCTTTAAGAGGGGGAACGTACAGGATGCTTGGCATTCAAGGCAAGAATGGATTCCCAGTTCGGTCCGGGGGGGTCAGAGGAGACTTCATTCACAGCGGAGGTGGTGTTTGGGGCCACTGAGTCTCGGCTTTAACCTTTCCAGCAGCCAGTCTCTGCCTATTACTCACAGAAGTTGGTGGAGAGTGGGCCCTCCCCTGTTCCCACCCCAACCCGCAGGGGCCCACCTCAGGGTGAGAGGCTGTGATGGAGCCTGCCGCCTTGGCACCTGCTCCCACACAGTCCAGTATGACTTACGCCTTCATCACTACAGGCTCAAGCAAGCGAACCCCTGTGGCAGTGATCGCATTTCTGTGCCTGTGGCCCACTGTCACTTTGGCTCCTTCCCACTTCTCCCTCCATCCTCACCCATTTTTCAGCATCTAACTCCAGTCTTCTGTCAAGAATCAACACCCAAATAATGTTTGCCACAGGCTTCCAATATGTGATACTTGCAGTGCTGTGGGCAGGAATCTGAAGGTCTCCGAAGTGAACAACCCTGGCCTGGCTGTCAGGAGAGGTGGGCAGGTAGGCCTCAGTTTCCCCTGACTGGATGAGGAGGGGCTGCAGTCAGGAATAGCATATCTGTTGCTAGCCTTTGAAGCCTGGCAGGTGACCTAAGCTAGGAAGCCAGGTGTGAGGCAGTGGGCCCTGAGGGGCATGGGGCCAGAGCATGGATGTCATACCCCAAGACATCCAAACTATCTTTCAGAACACGGAACTACTTGGTTTTCCTCAACAGTCCCTTTCATTTCTGAATTTCTGTAAACATATCTTCACATCTCACGATTAAATAAAAGTGAATGTGGAGCTTGTCTACGCCATTAGAGTATGTGTGCTGAAAGCTTCCCTCTACAGAGCGGAGGTTAGAAATCTTGAAACCTTGTGCTCTGTGAAGCATCAGTCAAGAGTGCCCATGAGCCAGAAGGAGCAGACACTTTTGAGTGACTCCCATTCTTTCCCGTGTACAGCAAATCAGGAAGGCTGCCGAGTCCAGGGTGACCCTCGGGAGCTGTGTCATCCCGGGCCTCCCAGCCAGAGAGCCGTGCCACCGTCCGAGGCAGGGACCTGCATTACCAGGACTTAAGTATGCCTCTCCTTACCCCAGATAACAAATGCAGTCAAGGAGGAAACAATCCCTTGTTTGGATCAGTGAACCCTCTTGGTGACTTTCAGGGAGACGCCTCTAGCAGAACCCTGATGATCTGCAATAGTTCTGGGTCTGGTTCTGCAGATGTACTTACTGCATAAAACAGAAAGGTCGGCTCACACCTCCCTCGGTACTTTTCAAGGGCATCCAGACAATCTGCTTCTGCCTAAAGAAAACAAGCTGTCAGGAGGGGCCTGGGGTGCCAGGGACGCAGGGGCATGATGGTGGGCGACCACACAGGACAATACCCACACAGACACACACCCCACATATACACACACAGACCCCATAAACAGTGCGTGCACACACACACACACACACACACACACACACACCCCTCTCCACACACACTTTGCCTTCTGTGTCTGAGAAGCCCTGTGCGGGGGCAGGCATTGCTGCCACACGCCCTCCCCAGAAGGGTCAGAACTGATTCCCCATGAAGAAAGTGCAGAGTCCTTGAGAGGTCAGCGTGGGTGAATTTTCTCCTATGTTCCGCCTAGGAACCTCTAATCCAAGTGTCTCTCACACACGTCTCTGGAATTTATTCCCATTTCCATACATTCATCCAAGGAAATACTGGCCAGAAATTCCCCATGATGGAGGAGAGCATAAAAATCTTGGAACTCTGTGCTCTGAGAGTTAAGACTTCAGAGTCCCCAGTGTTCATGAGCCAGAAGGAGCATGCGTGTCAGGTGACGCGCACCCCTTCCCTGTGCACAGGGTCAAGAGATGCCTGAGCTCAGAGTGACGGTCGGGAGCTAGGGGTGGGGTAGGAATCTTTTATCTCTAAAGAAACTATAAGGCATCATAACTGATGACCCAAAATTTCACAACCGATGCCTTTTCAATTATCTGGAAAAAAGGCACCTCATGCTTCCTGTCCCCGCTTTTAAATGTTTAATTATTTTACAGTGTCGTGTGACATTCTCCTGAGAGAGGATCTTACTAATGCAAAATGCAGAAGGTCCAGGCCAGCCTCCATCCTCATCTTCTGGAAGAGGCTCACCACGGGTTTGCAGGGCCCACACCAGCCTTGATAGACGTCCACAACTGTGTGGAACCAAGAAGCAGGAACAGTCAGCGGGCACCAGCACTCACCATGTCAGGCAAAATTTATACCTGCCAACTCTAACTCCTCTCCAGTGCACGTCTGTTTGCAGGGTTATTTAATGGTTCAAGGGATTTATAGGAATAGGGTCGAGCAGGGAAACACAGCCACCCCTCATTCTTACGAACTCAGGGTTCTGAATTCTAAACAGACTGAAGTAAGTGTGGTAGAAAACAGTTTTCTTTACGGATCTTTTACCTGCAGTCATTTTCAGGCTACGTTCGTGGTCAGGCTGGTACAGAGTGGCCCTCAATAAATATTGGAATTGTACTAAGATTATCTATTCTAAAAGAGGTCACGGTAGGCGGCCTGTCAGCACACAATCAACTCTTAGCTGCTTTGATAATAAACACAGTTTTGACATTTTCCCCTGATGGATTAAAAGCCACTTAGGAGAGTTTTATTTACTTTATAAAATCAACATTGTTCTCCTGAAAAGTGTACCTGATAGAGACCTAGATGGTAACTTGGCTACTTTTTTCTTCGTCAGTCCCAGTCTATGGAGTGTGCCAGGACAGGGAGTGAGGGAACCCTCTCGTCTGATCGCACAAGGCCCCAGGGCCTGTGGGAAAGCGAAGCAAAGCTAAGCCAACACATGTGTACCAGATACATGCAGGACGTGTCCAGCCCCATCATGACGACACAGCTGGTGCTAGACTGTGTGAAGTTCAAAGACGTGCAGTAACTAACCCAAGGTACAAAAGAAAAATTAAATTCTCAAGCGGTAGAATCTAGTTTTAAACCCAGCTTCGTCTGAGTGCATGCTCTTTCAACTACTCCAGGAAAGAAGCAAGATGCATGGATTCAGGAGTGTTGGTTAGTTTCACCAAGCAACATAGTTTTGCAGGGAGAAAGAGAACCAAGTTGGGTATGGGAGGGATGGGGAAGCCAGGCACAGGGGAGCAGTGGATGTGGGAGGGAAGGAAGGGAGGAATCCACAAGACTTTGAAAGGGAAGGGAAAGATGGCAGGGGGGTGAAAGTCACATGGGTGTGCAAAGGACTCTACCTTGGAGCCTGGCAGAGGAAAAGAACTGGGTGGTGGCAGGGAGAGATCATTTGCGGGAAGGAGAAACGTCAGCTAGGTTCTAGACATGCTGGGTTTCCAGTTCGAGCAAGAGACTCTAGGGCCAGTGGTCTCAAAGGCAACCAGGGACCAGCAGAGGAGACAGATTTGGGCCTCCTGGGCACCCATGTGGAGGACAAAGCTCCGGGTTTCGCTGAGGACAACAGCTTTACACTGGAGGGGCCTGGGGATTTCAATACACCAGGGAGGTGTAATGGGGGAGGAAGGCATTTGAGTCAAGCCAGGGAAAAGTCTTTGAAGACCTCAAGGGCCTGTGTTTGGGCCCACCAAGGAAAGCAGGTTCACACCCCCACTGGGAAAAAATGGGACCCAATTAGCTACCAACCTCTCTACAGGATTTGCACCCATAGTTCAGCTTCCCATCTCCCCTCGTAGTCCCTGGCTCTCTGAGCAGTGGTGGGGCAAGGGCATACTTCACAGGTTATGGGGCAGAGAGCAAGACTGGAGAGGAAGTGTATCAAGAGTTACAAAGCAAAACAGAGAAGACATCGGGAAGGAAAGAAATGGCAGAGAAAATGAAAAGGTATGTGTGCACACGTGCCCGTGTAAACCTGAATAGACTTGCCTATTTGAAGGCAGGTGAAAATGAGCCAGCAGAAGGCAAGACTTCCAAGATGGTGGTTGACTTTGGAAGCAAATGTCTGCTGGCTCTAGAAAGAAGGAAGAAGGAATCTTCCTCGAGACTGCCCGCTAAGAAGGGGAGGACGAGCCCCTGCTGGCCCCAGGATTCCCTGGCATGCTTAGAGCAGGCGTGGCAGAGTCCACACCCAGCAGATGTCAGCTGTGATCACCTAGGGTGCAAAACGTGTTGAGGTGGTAGTTTTCTTATTGCCGTTAAAGAAATAGAAGTAATGGTTGTTTTGCCCTAGAGCCATGTTTCAGTTGCACAGACGAGGAGACCTGCAGACAAAATAGTTGAGACCTGGCACCATCAAAAAAGCTGTGTGATCCCTCAGGTAGTAGAATGTGGCAAGACTCCCACCACGCTGCCAGGTCAGTGCTACCGGCACTCTGCCCCAGGCCTGGGCAAGTCCGCCAGACACGGAGATGAAGAAGACAGTGCCCCCATGTGCAGAGTTTAGGGGGAAAGCTACAAGTGCTCCTCCAGACAGGGGCCACACCAAACTGGGTGTGTGCTGAGGGGAGAGGGGGAGACAGAGTCCCACCCCAAATGCCCAGGCGACTTCCAAGGGGAAGTGACCACGCAGAGGTTCTAGAAAGATTTCAGGCAAGGAGGCTGCTGCCTTCTGGAGCTGGCCCTGGGAATGAGGGAGACATCTCCAGCTTATGAGGGGGTCATGATATTCCAGGGAGCAGGGACAACATGGATAAAAGTGAAGAAGTGGGGAAACTTGTGGCACGTTCAGGAAACAGACTGGAGCTCAGGACATATCTCAGGGAACGGTGGGTGAAGGGGCTGGAAAGACAAACTGAGTCATGGGGGAGGAGAGGGGCAGGGGCCTTGTTCAAGGCTGAAGTCACTCGGTGTGGGTGGCGCTGGGGAGAGAGAAGAGCAGACCCGAGCTGGCCAAGCAGGTGTATTTATAGGGAGAAGAACTAAGAAGATACAGAGCGAGGAAGGGAGCCCAGAGATACTCACAGTCAATGAAACGAGAAAAGAACCGTGGTGACAGGTGTGGCAGGCAGCCTCTAAGAGGCCAGGGGGGAGTCCTGCCTCCTGGGATGTAACCCCCTGCCCTTAAGGGTGGGCCGGACCTAGTGACCGGCTTTGAACAACGGAGTAGGGCAAAGTGATGGGATGTCACTTTTCAGATTCAGTTACAGAAAGACTTTGACTTGCATGTGTCTCTCCCTCCCCCTCTGCCCCCCTTCCTCTGGGGGAAGAAAGTTACTGTGTTGCAAGTAGCTTTATGGAGAGACTGATAGCAAGAACTTGATGTCTCTGGCCAATAGCCAGCAGGGCCCGGAGTCCAGCCAACAGCCTCGTGAATGAAGTTGGAAATGACCTTCTAAGATCTGTCAGAGCCACATGACCGAGCTTAGAAGCAAATTGGACTTTAGTTGAGCTTTGACATTCCCTGTCTTACTCCTTAACCGCAGCCTGGAGAGAGACCCCAAACCAGAGACACCCCAAACCAGAGGTGAAGCAACACCTGGATTCCAACCCCACAGAAACTGTGGGATAATAAATGTTCATTTTTGGGGGCACCTGGGTGGCTCATTTGACTAAGTGTCTGCCTTCGGCTCAGGTCATGATCTCAGGGTCCTGGGATCGAGTCCTGCGTCGGGCTCCCTGCTCAGCGGGGAGTCTGTTCCTCCCTCTGGCTCTCCCTCTGTGCTCTCTCGCTCTCTCAAATAAATAAATAAAATCTTTAAAAAAAAATAAATGTTCATTTTTTTAAAAACTACTAAGTAAATTGCAGTCGATAACATACAAGAGGATAGGGACAAGGAGACCCAAAGGACAGTGGCTATGCTGTGTCCTAATGACGGTGCAGTCCCTGGTTCCAGCCCCTTGGGGTGCCGAGTTCTCCTTCCAGCCCCTGAGTTCCATATTCCTTCCGGCACATTCCCCTTTATGCCTCAGGTAGTCAGAAGAGGTTTTCATTCCTTCACACCAAACAATCCTTGGGTCGGACAGTCAGCTCTGAGACAAGGGAGCCCTGTTACCTGGCAGTACTGACTGTTTTCCCAAGCTGAATGTACTAACAGATGTGCAAGTCGGATAGATGCACACACACAAAGAAATGACCTGGTTCTTCATTTAAGAAACTCAAGATAGGAAAATGGTGCTCCTGGCAGCTTTTCTCTTCCTGGTTCAGTATGCCATGTAGCAATTTTGAAAAGGCTGGATCTAAAAACTTATCTGAAATTACCAGTTAGTCCTTTGGAACTGAGCATTTCTTCCCAAAGCTCCTGGGTGCTGATGTTAACCTAACATCAAAGAAGAACAAAGGCTGTGTTACTGAGGGCATGGATGGGGAAAGGATTTGATGTATTTGCTCCAGATACCTACCTACCTACCTACCTACCTACCTACCTCTTGCTACCTCCCTTCCTTCCCCCTCTCTCTCTCCTCTCACCTCCCCCCCTCCCTCTCTGAAATAGGTACAAATACAGCTCAAGCTGTCGTCTTTCCCCAATCTGCCTTTCTCCTCCTGTCTCTTCCTGCCTCCAAGCCCCACAAATAACCGCTAACCTAAGAAAATCTCAGTCATTTTTTAAAAATAATTTTTTCTTGTTACTTGTCCAAAAAAATAATATATAAAATTGTTTTGTGTCCATAATATGTACATAAATAATATCATACTATAGAGATCTTTTTGCAATTTTTGTTCTCACTCAAATCCAGTTTTGACATTTATCTAGATTCATATACAGAGAGGTATTCATTCATTTTTTTCTTTTGGTCTTTTTACGTGTTCTGGAGATATATAATTTATATACAGTGAAATACACAGAACTAAAGTGTTGCAGTTCGCCGAGTTTTGGCAAATGCACACAACCCAGGTCACCACACCCCTATCACAATACAGAACTTTCCCATCATCCCCGAAAGTTCCTCTGTCTCCTCCCGGTCACCCCCGCTCCTCACCCCAGGTGAACAGTGATCTGCTTTCTGTCACAATAGATGTGTCTTTTCTAAAACTGCCTATAAATGGAATAGTGCAGCACATATTATTTTGTGCTGGCTCCTTCCATTCAGGGTATTTTGGGAGATATATCTGTGTGGTTGTGTGTCAGTAGTTTGTCCAGTTTTATTCCTGAGCATATTTCATTGTATGATTATATTGTAATCTGCTTGATAGATATTTGGGTTACTTCTAGTTTGGGGTTATTACAAATAACGACTTATGAACACTTTTTTTTTTTAAGATTTTATTTATTTGAGAGAGAGAGAGCCTGCGTGAGCAGGGGTAGGGGCAGAGGCAGAGGGAGAAGCAGGCTCCCCGCTGAGCAGGACCCCGGGATCATGACCTGAGCCGAAGGCAGATGCTTAACCGACTGAGCCACCTAGGCGCCCCACTTATGACCATTCTTGTTAAATCTTCTTGTGCTCACGTTTTCATTTTTCTTCAGTAAGTAAATACTCTAGGAGTGGCATTGCTGGGACATAGGGTAAATGTTATGTTCAGTTTAATAAGAAACTGCCCATGCTTTTTCTAAAGTGACTGTACCATTTTAAACTTTCATCAGCAAAGTATAAGAGTCCTGCTTGCTCCACATTCTTACCAAAATATAGTGAAATTAGTCTTTTAGATTTTAGCCACACTAATGATAATGTAGTGGTATGTTATTGTGGCTGTAATTTCATTTCCCTGATGACTAATGGTGTTAAGCATTATTATTAAATAATGCTTATTATTAAAATTATTAAAAGAGGTATTTATTATTAAAATAATCACTATTTAGTGTGCTTATCAGCCATTTATTTATCTTCTTTGAGAAGTGCCCATTGGTCTGTCCATTTTCTTTATTGGATTGTTGGCCTTTTTATTATTAGATTGTGTGTATATATACATATATACACAAAGATGCTCTCCCATTTTCTTCTAGAAGCTTTATAATTTAAGCTTTCACATTTAAGTCTGTGAGCCATTCTGAAATTAATTTTTGTCTGTATTGTGAGGGAAGGATTGAGGTTAGTTTTATTTCCATGTAGAGGTACAGTTTTTTTCAGCAAAACTTCTTGAAAAGATTTTTTTTTTCCCTCATTAAATTGCTTTGGCACCTTTGTTGAAACCAGTTGACTACATAAGCATGGGTTTATTTTGGACTCTCTTCTGTTTCATTGCCCTATTTTCTATTCTTTTGCCAACACCATATTCTTTTAATTACTGTAACTTTATAATAAGTCTTGGAATCAGGCAGTGTGGGGCTTCCATATTTGTTCTTCTTTTTCAAAACTGGCTATTCTTGATCCTTTGCATTTCTATTTTTTTAGAACCAGCTTGTCAGTTTCTATAAAAACTCAAGATTTTAATTGAGATTGCATTGAATCTATGGATCAATTTGGAAAAAAACTGAATCTTCACAACATTGAGTCTTCCAGTCCATGAACATCATGTTTCTCATCACTTATTGAATCTTCCTTAATTTTCTTAGCAATGTTTCATACTTTTTGGTGTCTAAGTTTTGCACATCTTTTTTACATATTTCCAAACATCTACATCAGAAATAATAACAGTTGAGTTTATTGCCATTTCTTCACATTTTTCTCTTATCTATAATGTATTCTGGTTTCCATCATAAATTAAATTTAAGGAGAAATACATATTATGTTATACATAGCACATTATTAATAGTGTACATTTTTGAATAATGTTTTTATTTGGAAACAGTTTCAAACTTATAGAAGATTTGCAAGTACAGTATAAAGAACTTCTTGAATTATTTGAAATTATTTAAATTATTAAATAACTTGAATTATTTGGATTTAAATTACCAACTGATATCCCATTATCTCTGAATACATTATCCTACATAACCACAATACAACCATCAAAGTCAGGAAATAAACACTGATATATTATTACTATGCCATCTTCAAGTCCCATTCAGGTTTTACCAATCATCCCAATAATGTCCTGAATAGCAAAGGATCTCATCTGAATCATGTACCAGATTAGTCTCTTTCAGCCTGGAATAGTACTTCAGTCTTTCCTTGATTTTCATGACCTCAGGGTCATTCTTGACGACTATGGGAGGGTTATTTTGTAGAATGTCCCTCAGTTTGGGTGTGTTTGATGTTTCCTGATTAGATTCAGGCTGTGCATCTTTGGATTGGATGGTATTGGTTGGTTTGGGTGGAGTGTCAGAGAAGCAGAAGAGTGTTCTCTCATTGCATCTTATCAGGTGACAGGCAATGTCGATCTGCCCCTTATTGTTGATGTTCACTTGGATCACTTTATTAAGTTGCTCTGTCGATCTCCTGCGCTGTGAAATTATTCTCTTTTACTTTGTAATTAGTAAGTTTGGGTGGGGCTAATTTAAAACTATAAAAATCAAAAGACCATGGCAATGATCACTCATTCTTCATACAGGTATGCTAAGGCCTTTGTTCCTTTAGGGCTGGAAACATGTAACATCTGCAAATCTTCTACTAAAGATCCATCTTTCTAAAGAAATCATATCTCCATATTTTTTGTTTCTATGAAAAAAAAAACAGAAAAAACGGAAGAGTCTTCTTCTTAATGGCTTGAGGGATCTAAGAGAGTTGGACCAATGTCATTCTGGGCTCACAACGGTAGTCCTGAAGAAGGTGACAGAGGGTTCAGAAGAGTCCCCACTCCCACCCTCTCTCATAACAGTCGCTTCCAGTGGCTCAGCGGTCCGTCAGTAGCAACTCTCTGTGGTACACCCCCCTGTTGTGGGATAAGCCTCACCAGCTATCTGGCAGGGACTCCGAACACTTGAAGAATCTTGCTCCTAGGAATGGGCCAGGAGCAGGAGAGTATGGGAAATGTCTGGACTTCGCTAAGCCCTACATTTGGTCGGGAATGAATGGGGAATGTGTGGCACATTCTGGCCAGACTGTCTCTTGATGTCCTGTGATTTCTGTCTCAGTCACAGAAGGAGCCCGAAATAGTCTTACTCAAAGAGAGGACAGCGTTCCTGGGCTTGCAACCCCTACAGCACTGCTTTCAAGGAGCTGACCCAGTAGAGAGGCAATGTTCACACAGATGTCTCCATGCACATCCCTCAGCAAGCGGGAGTACTTACTTGGAGTACCAAACTGAATTCAGAGCTCTGGGGAATAACATTTTTGTGAAATCACCAAAAAATATTATCCCAAAGGGGATACAAGGCATAGACAGATGAAAAGATAATCATATGGGGCAAAAATCTTAGGGCCACCACAGACAGCAATCAGTCCAGCCTTGAAATCCCTAAAGGAGTCTCATCACAATAACTCCAAAGGCTATGTATTATCCTTCCTGTTTGCATAAAGGATATGGAGTCTCAGGGAGGTTGAGGAAATCATTCACAAAGCAGTAAGTCCAGGTGTTTATAATTTATTTACAGACAGAATGTAGACGTACGAAAAGTTTCATAACTCCAGAGTACTAGAGCACCAGTGCTGGAAGGCCCTTAGGGATGGTTCACTCATTTTACAGATGGGCAAGCTATAGCAAGAGAGGTTATGTGATTGATCTCAAGTCTCCGAGTTGACTAAGAGAAGAGTCAAGAACTCTATCAGGTCTTCAGACCTTCAGTCCAAAGCTCTTCCCACCCTCTCCTAGTACATGCTATCCTTACAGTGACATTGCTTTCTCCCTTTTTAAATCATTAGGCTTTGGAAATTCACATGTAAAGTGCTGGTGCCACCGAGGACAATGAAAGAGAAATCGGGTGTCTCAAGACCACTGCCACTCTACTCTGCAGGTGGCGCCTGAGCATGTTTCCAGATGGGCTGAACTGACTATGAGACACTGTAAAGTTTGCTTTAAAATGTGCACATATTACAGATCATCCAGATGATCTGCTTATGATAAAGCACTCCCTCTTGTCAGGGATCAGGAATCAAAGCAGATGGGGGCTTACAGAGTCATTTGTTCTAGGTGCAAATGAAGTAAAGCACTCTATACAACAAATGTGCAGCACATAAAATATCAAAACATATTTATTGAATAAGCAAATGATTGCAAAGAGCAGTGGTGGGAGAACTGGGTCTCCAGAGAGCACGTAGTTACGGACGCATGCCCAAACTCAAAAGAACCCTACATCATATTCTCGAAGCAAGCCGCATTTATATTTCAACAAAAAAATATGTCAGTATCGAATTGTATTTGTTCATATTTTCTTGCGTTTTTAGTTTTATTTTAATTCATGTTTGGGTTATGTTTGAATAAACACTATAAGCATAAAGAGCTTATGCCCCATTTTATGTTTGCCTATATTTAAGGGCACAAAAAAATTGTCACTAGGGGGTCGAGATAAGTTTGTTGGGGTTTTTTTTTCCCCCTTTTAGATGGAAGGGTACAATATTCAAGTTCGAGAACACTGTCACGTACTGCTAGCAAATAATATCACTTTTATACATTTCTTTCCACTCCTTCTCAACCCCAACCCCCAACCAAGTGCTAGGAGCAAGCGCCCCTTGAGGCTTACCTGCAGGGCAATTTCCTTCTTCTTGCTGCCCATGGCTCTGCAAAGAAGACAGAAGCCCTGTTACTTCGGGCTCGGGCTGTTCCCAACAGCAGCCTGGAGACAAACCGCTGCGAAGACTAGCAAACCCAGAGCCTCCTTCAGACAAAGCCCCCGTCCCTTCAAGGTAAATATAAATGGCAGCAAAATAAATGCCCCCATGCAAAATGAACACCCCAGGTGGGGCGTGGCGGGGAGCGGAGCCTGCCGCCCGCAGGGTAGTGGCTCGCCAGGCGGTTTTCGGCAAAGCCCCTTCCCAGCATGGAGTGGGGGAGCCCGGCGATGCAGCCCTTCAGGCATCAGAGCGCCTGCCGAGGAATTCGAGCAGGAAAAGGCCACAGAACCCTGTTATCCCTACTGTTGCAATATATTACTGGGAAACTGAGCCACCGCGAACGATCCCTCGACAGCTACACGGTCCTCAAATTGCCGCGAGTTTCCAACCTAGTCTGCAGAGACCCAGCCACGGTCGTCAGGGAAACACAACGCGGGCCTCGTCGTCCAGGTAATAAACAAGCGTACACGTAAGCCACGCCCACCGCGGGCCCGCAGAACGGCGGGAGGGAGTCCCGCCCCCTTGCAAGCCGAATTGTGCTGTAGGGACGCTCTCGCTGGCTGATGCGTTTCAGTGTCTGGGGCATTTGGACTCACCAAGCAGAGACCCTGTGCACTCAGGTACTCCCCGAAGCCCTGCATACCTCCAGCCCAACCAGAGCTGGTGTGCAGCTTTTCTATTGTTACTTACTGCATGCCAGCCAGGGGTGGCTCCAGGTTTTGAGGGATCTGAAGGGATTCCCTTTAACAAAGAATACACAATTATAAATTCCAAAATTATGTATGAAAGTCAAGTGGGGCAAATAGAAAACAGTTACCAACATAGTGTGAATAGTCTATACCGATTAAAAGACAGAGTGTCAATGGATTAAAAAAAAAAAAAAAAAAGGCCCAACTGTGTGTTGTCTATAAGAAATTAACTTTATTTATTTTTTTAAGTTTTATGTATTTAAGTAATCTCTACCCCCCAACGTGGGGCTCGAATTCATGATCCCAGAATTAAGAATTGTATGCCCTTCAGACTGAGCCAGCCAGCTGCCCCAAGAAATTCACTTTGAATATAAAGACACAGATAAGTTAAAAAAATAAAGGGGTGGTGGGCGCCTGGGTGGCTCAGTCATCAAGTGTCTGCCTTCAGCTCCCTCTCCCTCTGCAGCTCCCCTTGCTTTTTTTTTTTTTTAAGATAATCACTTTTATACATTTCTTTCCACTCCTTCTCAACCCCAACCGCCAACCAAGAGCTAGAAGCAAGCGCCCCTTGAGGCTTACCTGCAGGGCAAATTCCTTCTTCTTTTATTCATTTGAGAGAGAGAGCAAGCAAGAGCATGAGCAGAGGGGAGGGGCAGAGGGAGAAACAGAACAGAGCCCAGAAACAGACCCATACTCATGTGGTCAACTGATCTTTGACAAAGGGGCAAAGGAAAGTCAGTGGAGAAAAAGTGGTGCTGGAATAATTGGATCTGGACACAGACCTTACACCTTTTACAAAAATTAACTCAAAATGGATCATAGACATAAATAAATTAGGGATTACAAATTAGAGCAATAATGAGATACTTCTACACACCTATTAGAATGGCTAAAACCCCCAAAATTGACAATATTGGTTCACAAAAGTTGGTGAAGAGCACCAGAGCAATAGACACTCTCATTTATTGCTGGTGGGAATACAAAATGGTATACAGCCACTTTGGAAGACAGTTTGGCAGTTTTTCACAAAGCTAAATGTAGTCTTACTGTATGATCCAGCAATGATGCTCCTGCAGGTTTATCCAATTGATTGGAAAACTTAGGTATACACAAAAACCTGTGTGTAATGTTTATAGCGGATTTATTCACAATCACCCTAAATTGGAAATAACCAAGATGTCCTAAATAGGTGAATGAATAAGCAAACTGAGGCACATCCATACAGGGTGTCTATAAGACACAGCATTGCTAATTGGGTCTACTAAATGCAAGTGATGTTTGTTGCCACTGAGTGGTGGTTACTCATGCTCTTGAATGGTTTGAAATCTCCCTTAGAACTTCATTTCCAAAATAAAATTCAAGTCAGGACACTGAAAAATACTGCCAGGACACTGAAAAATACTTTTTGTTCTTTTTGAAAGGGTTTGATTTCTCACCACTGGTTGGTGTCCACCATAAAATGTAGTCACATCTTTGCCAAATTAAACCACAGAACAAATTTAGGGTGACCACACGTCTTTACGCCCTGACTTTATACCTGTTGTCCTGTGCAATTATCAATAGCAACCCTTTTTACTTTCAAAAGTGCAGTTTGGACAATATAGAGCCTCCTCAATTTTCCCCAAATGGATCACCCCAGCTTTTTACACCTTGATTTAATGAAAGTTCAATATTTTACATATTTTATGATATCCATCAGTAATTGGATTGCTTTGCCCAAAAGTCCTGCCCTAAGGAAAGTGTTTTGTTTGTTTGTTTTGCTTTTGTTTAATGCAAAAACTTCTAACTTTAGAGGTTACTGCTGTGTTTTGGTGTCTGAAAGATTGAAAAAACAAACAAAAATTATTCTTTCTCCTGCAAGTTATGTTTATTACCACAAGATGATGGTTTACTCAGGGAAACCCTTCTGTGATCCAAATTTGATGCCAGGAGCATTTTCTTTATTTAAACACTTAGAATTGTGTCATGACTGTGTGCAACAACAATGAACTTACTCACTTTAAGAGCAAATCACAAAACCAAATAGTTTCCAGTTTTCATGTTAGCTGATAAGAATGTATACATATTGACACCTCTCTGCTTCCAGATATTATGGTTTCTTTTTTCCATAAATACCAGCGTGTCCCTACTATGAATGGCTCTGAGGAAGGCAGCAAGGAGTAGTAGAACCGGGAACATTAGAATCTCACAGACGTGGGTTGGGTCCTTGGACCCACCACCTACAAGCTGTGTGAGCTTGGGAACCGTACTTCAACTTCCTCAGACTCAGTTTCCTAGTCTTTAAAATGGGGAGAATAATACCTACATTTCAGGAATGTGGCGGAGAGAGATAACGTCTTCCAAATTTTGTTGATAGTCACGCCATTATTGCTTGAGGTGTCATCCTCTTTTCACAGCATAGGACCGTCGCTGAGAGGCAGCTTCCCCGGCAAAGTTCACAGTGGCTACCCCCAGCCCTGGCAGCCAGATGGAGCCATTCCATTAATTTTCCTCCATCAGGGCGGCAGTGCCGGGTGCTACCTCTGAACCCCCCACATTCTGCCCCCATCTGCCACCTCCATGTGACCAGGATGGCTTTAATGACCAGAGATGTTTTTAATTTGATGAAATTTAATTTGTCAGTTTTTATTCTATGTTTCTTGGGGTTTTTTGCCCTGTTTAAGAAATCTTTTCCTAAGGATTTCCAACCCCCAGGTCATGAAGATATTCCCTTTATTTTCTCCTAGGAATTATAAAAAAGTTATAATGACAGGACTTATTAAAAATTTACATTTAGGCCTATGATCCATCTCAAGTTCATTTTTTAACTGAAATTTTTATTGAGATAATTGTAGGTTCATGTAGTGGTAAGAATAACATGGAATCCTTTGTACATTTGGCCCTGTTTCCCCAATGGTAACATTTTGCAAAACTATAGCCTAATATCACATCCAGGATATTGACAATGATACAATCCACCTGTCTTTGTCAGATTTTCTGAGTTTTAGTTGTACTCCTGTGTGTGTGTGTGTGTGTGTGTCTATAATTTTATCATCTGTGTAGGTTCATGTATCCACCACCATAGTTAGGATCCTGAACACAGGGATCCTTTGTGTTGCCCTTTAGCCACACCCACCTCTCTCCTTTATCTCTCCCCCTAACTTCTTTTTTTTTTAAATAATTTTTTATTGTTATGTTAATCACCATACATTACATCATTAGTTTTGGATGTAGTGTTCCATGATTCATTGTTTGTGCATAACACCCAGTGCTCCACGCAGAACGTGCCCTCTTTAATACCCATCACCAGG